CCCCGGCGCCCCCCGGCCCGGCCCGGCGCCCGCCGCCTGCCCGGCCCCCTGCCACTGCCAGGAGGACGGCATCATGCTGTCGGCCGACTGCTCTGAGCTCGGGCTCTCCGCCGTGCCAGGGGACCTGGACCCCCTGACGGCTTACCTGTGAGTATGCGCCCGCACGTCCCTTCCCTTCCCGCCGCTGCTGGCTGCTAGCGGGCGTCCTGTCCAGCCCTCAGTCTAAGGCACCTGCCCGCCCGTCCCCTGGGGCATGGGCATCCGGAGGAAAGCTCTTCCCCTTCCAAGGTGACTGCTGCGGGACTGGGGAGGGGAGAAGAGTCCGAGGCTAAAGATCAGGCAAGCCCTGAGCCTCCGCTTCCCTTACTTGGTTTCCCAGCTGGCCTCTGTGCTTGTGGGTTCACTGTGGGTGTCCAGGCTTGGCAAGGTGGTTCTGGACCCTGAGCAAGAGGGACACGGGCTTGGCTGCCTCTTCTTCTCCAGCATGGCAGTGCTCAGGACAGTGGAGGAAGGCAGAGCTGACCGAACTGGTGGTGGAGGTGAGGGGAGTGTGCCCCAGTGATCTGGAAATGATGTCTGTTTCTCTGCCATGGCACAGAGAGCAGAGCTGTCATCCTGAGGCTGGGTGGCCTCGGTGGGGGGTCCCAGAAACTGGAACAGGGGCCTTCCCCACTCGTCTCCTCAGAAGGGGACTCTGCCAGCACCATCTCCCTTCGAGGAGGCCTCCTGGCTCCCAGAGGGGCCTCCCTCAAGTCCTGTCCCGAGAGGCTGTGTTGGAAACACTAATTTGTGGGCAGGCACCGAGGCTGCAAACCAGAAAACCATTTTTAGAGTCTGAGTTGGGGTGAGATGGTGTGTGAAGGGGACCCTACTGGGGCAGCTGTCCTGACAGCTTAGAGGAGCTTCTCCTCAGAGCCTGCAGACAGGGAGTGGGGTGGGGGCTGCTTCTGGCTGCTCACCACCTGGGCAGACCCCCCACCCCCGCTCTGGGGAGAGAACACCTCCTCAAGCTTTGCCCTGCCCAGGTGCCATCACCTCTTCTCAGAGGAGGCAGAGCAGGTGGGAAAGTCTGGGGATATCTGCTCAAGGGTAGGATCCCAGAGCTCCTGCTGGCCTGAGAGAGGCCCCACATGACTTTGGGGTTCCAGGACTTGGGAGCACTGAGGAAGAGGGTGTGGACTATTCATTATTGGAGCCCAGTAAGAGTTTGTTGAACTAAATGGGGCAGTGTTGGCACTGTCCTGGTGGGGTGTGGAGGGTCCTGAATTGCAGCTCTTCATGGGGCTCCCCTCCCAATCTCTGTGTCCCCAGTTGAGATGTTCTCCTCCACTCCAAAAGGCACAGGCTGTGGGCCAGGGAAAGGAGTGAGAAGGAAAAAATAGTGTCCATATTCCAGAGGGACTTGAGTGCTTCGCAGTGCAGGGGGTGACGGCAGAGGCAAACACAGGAATACAAAGCAAAACCCCGTGCAGAGCCCTGCAGAGCTGTGAGGCGCCGCAGCAGCTGGCAGAGCAGGGGGCTCTGTCCCCTCCCCTGCTACACCCACAGCAGCCCCACTTTTAGCAGTTTATATAGTGAGGGCATATGACCTGGCTTCAGAAAACAGGGTTGTGTGGCTAAATAGAGTTTGGAAATGACTTCTACAGAGCTTTTATTTGGGGGAGCACAAGGAAGGTCCCCTGCCTGGATTTAAGGCACAGAGGACATAGGGCCTTCCAGAGGTGGATTGGTCCAGCCTCCTTTCCCAGCATCTAAGTCTTCCTAGATCTTCCTAGTCTAGAAGGACTTGGGGAAGAAGGTACAGTGCCACCTTCGGAACCCAAGTGTCCCACCGTTCATGCTGATGGATTTTTCCCACTATCTTGTCACAATTCCCTCGGAGCTGTGAATTCCACGTGTGGGTTGAGTGGAGGTGGGATTTTCTGAGCTGGTCCTGTGTCTCCCTGGGTATTGAGAAAGCCCCTCTCTCCCAAGACTCAGACCATGCACCATGCTACTGGAGTGGGAGAGGGGAGGAGACGGAGTATGGGTCCTGTGGCAATGTGGGGAATTTAGCAGCAGGGTTTGGAATATTGGAGAGAGGTGGGAGAGGACTGTGTTCTCTGTCTTGGGCTGTGGAGGGATCCCACCTGAGTGGTGCCTGAAGGAATTTCTGCTGGGGGCAGTTGTCCTGAGGGAGGCTTAGAGCAGAAGGCTTCCTTCTTTGTCCTCTCAGGAAAGCAGGCCAGCCACAAAGGCGTCTGGAGGTGGGGGTGAGTGTTGTCATTGAGAAGAGCCAGGACAGGGAGGTCTTGGGGCTCCTTTCTTTTCTCAGCAATGTTAGGAAATGTCCAGCCTGGTCTTGCCCCCTTGTAGCGCAGCTCTTGCTGAGGATGGTGTGGATTGGCATCTGATAATGTAGCCAGCAGTTCCTCTCTGGGCCACCCAAACCTTGGTTCCTTCCTAGCTCTGCCACCTACTGAGAGTCACTGGACACCTCTAAGCCTCAGGTCATTCATGTTTACATGGAAAGAAGGAAGTGGGGTGGATTAAATGAGATAATATGACCATATAAAGTGCCCAGCAAAGTGCCCAACGTGCAGGGGGTGACACAGAAATGGTACCTATTATTGTCATGCCTCCTGTTGGGCACTCCATGGAGGTGGAGGTAAGCTACCACACAGCGGGGAGATCGAGCTCAGTGGGTGACTGCAGAACTCAAGGGATGGCTTGTGGCAGGAGGAAGAGAGGTGTGTGCTGGGGAGTCTCCCGCAGGGCTCTGCTCCTGATCAACGTTTGGCTGGTTTTGGGGGCTTGGGATCCCACCAGTTGGTGAACACTGGGGACTGGGGATTGGGGGTGTACTTAGATCTTCCTGGCACAGGGTTGAGAAGAAAAAGTAAGATTAAAGGATTTGGACGTGCAGGAAGTGGCAGGCCAGAGAGTACTTGAAGATCCTTAGAAGGAGCCATCGATGGACCCACAGGAGGCGGCAAGGAACTACGGGCTCCAGAAGGTACCTACGGGTCTTCTTCTGTGTTCCTTGACCCCACTCCAATAAAAATTACTTTACATCTGCTCCCCCACCCCAGGCGGTGCAATTCCCTCTTTCTAGCTGATACCTTTTATGATGTAGATGCCTCCACCTCCCTCCATCTGGGGTCTAGGGAAGCCCAGAAAGTCTTCTTTATATCTAACTGGTATCCTTTGCCTTGACGCTCAAGTCCAGAAACTCTAATGGCTTTGAGGCCCAATGCCAGCTCTGTTTGATCATGGTCAGGAAAACAGGCTTCGAATACTCACAATCGTTCTAGTGTCTCTCTTTTGTAAAAAGTCTCCTCCCAAACCATAGTCTCAGGGAGGCCCGTTGAGACTCAGTGGGGCTGGACATTCTCCTTGGGCAGGGTCTGTTCTGGGAATGGACCTAGTGGGGAGGGAGTCCCTGGCTCTGGGGCATTGCCATCTGATGGTGATGGGAAGGCACAGTGTGTCTTGCTCTGTTCCGTCACTTACGCATATGACAAGGAGATGGGAATACACAGAGAGCAAAGACTTGTCAGGCAAACAATACCCAGAGTTGCCCCTCAGCAGGAGAGTCTGGGTGGTTACTCTGGGTCCCTTCTTTATTATTATTATGATTAATTTTATTCCAGGTAGCATGATCCTCTATCTGAGTCCCTTCTTTCACCCCCAAAGCTGAGCAGTATTGGGAAATAGATGGTGTGAGAAAAAGTGTTCTGGGCAGCTAGTCACTCTAAGCACCCATTTCCATCACCCACTGCCACCAGGGCTCAGGGACAGGCCACCCCTCCACACAAGCCCTGTGTCAGACTTCTTATTGCTTTCTTGGGAGCCCACTCCCTTTAAGACTGCCTGTGATCACCACTGGACTTGGAAAGGTCAGACGGGATGAGGGTGTGTGTGTAGATTCAGGGTGACTGAAACCTCCTCATCGCTGCCTGGGGATGTCTATGACCAAGAAGAAGGAGGCAGGGTGCTGGAGGGAGAGAGCAGAGGGGTTAGCAGCGTGGGCACCGGCCACGACAGGGCAGGTTTCATGTCATCACTTACTAGTTGTGTGAACCTGGCCAGTTGATTGGCCCCATCGCTGCCTGGGGATGTCTATGACCAAGAAGAAGGAGGCAGGGTGCTGGAGGGAGAGAGCAGAGGGGTTAGCAGCGTGGGCACCGGCCAGGACAGGGCAGGTTTCATGTCATCACTTACTAGTTGTGTGAACCTGGCCAGTTGATTGGCCCCTCTGTGACTCAGTTTCCTCATCTGTAAATGGAGCTAATACCTATCTCATAGGGTTGATTTGTGGATTCACTAAGCTAAGGCTTGTAAAGGGTTTGGCATGGTGGCTGGCCCATGGGAAGAGCTCAATAAATGCTAGCCAGTGTTGTTGTTAGGGTGACCAGGGCCAAGAAGAATTAGTCATGGAAGTCTTCCTGGAGGAGGAAGTCTGGGAGCTAGCATTGGAAGGAGAGGAGCAGCACTGTCTTGTGAAGGTGTGGGATGGGCGTGTGTGTATGTGGGGCTGAGAGAGGGGAAAGAGTGGCTGGCAAGGACATGGGATGAGCTGTATTGGAAACAGCGTAGCTTTAGTTCTTTCCTGCCTGGTACAGTCTTAGAGCTTCATGGGAGGGG